ACTTTCCAAAGCACAAACCGGGAGGCAGTTAGCAGAGCATAGCATAATCAGTCGGAAACAGCTAATAACTAATGAGCTGTTTTATTCACTGTTTTATTCCATTTATGCACAGACTGAAATTGAAAATAAAAGCAACTGGAGCTAGCTTAGTTTTGAAATATTTAGATATGAGTAAAACACTGATGCAGTCTGTCTCTGAAAATGGACCTACCTGGTCTCACATCTCCTGCTTCTCTTAAGTAATGAGCAAATTTTCTGAATGGATAAACTGAACTGTGTTAACTCTTTATCTGTGTCTATCTGATCCTCTCCACTAGCTCTTAGAGTGCCTCAACCATCTGCCACACTCGTCATCTCTCTCCACCAGTTCTCTCTGCTGTTGTTCTCATAAAAAGAATGCAGTCAGAATGCCAGAAAATCTCACTTTTTTGATGATTAGATCACAAATATAAAAACAACAAACCTTTTTTTAATGCACAACACTTTTATTCAAGCAAGGAGCAAAACTCATGAGATCATAAATCTCTTTTGTGAGCTCAGGTTTGTCTCTGGCAGGTGAACCGAACAGAGGGTTTATCTTGCTGGGTTGCAAAAGCATCCTCTTCCCTTCCTCACAAAACCTTAAGTTGTAGCAGAGGCTGTGGCACGTGTGCTTCACTGACTCATCAGCTGCTACAGCAACAGGAGACTACACTTCCTCCACCTTCTGGCGTTGCCTGCTCCTTGTTGATGTCACCATCTTTTTTCCTGCAAAATATTTTTATACCCACAGCAAACCAACCAATCAAACAACCAGCAACCAAGTGCCAACAGTTAAAAGCCCTGTTAACTGGTGCTCTCCCTCTCTCCCTCTCTCGCTGCACACTCAAACAGAAAGCTTTGTAGCCAATTAGAGTGAAGTAGATGTTTGAATTGCACACAGCGAACCCAAATCCCTGTGTTTCTGATCAACAATATGTAATTATTTTGGAGGACTTGCTAGACTTTTTTTTTTTATAAATAAGCAGGTAGCTGTTCTCAGAAATAATAACCTCCACTACACTGCTTAACAAATGATAGTGGACAGATACTGTTGGATTACATTACCCTGCCACATAAAGAGCAGGATATTTCTCTCGTAAGTTGGAAGAGACAAAAAATGAGGCCAAATGAGAGCAAATTAAAATTAGATTCAACAGATGGCTGAAAAACACTCTAAACACTCAGTTACTTAAATATGTGAAGATAAAGACAGTCTGATCCACAGGGCATATAATTAAAAAAAAAGTCTTCTTTGCAACGTGTCTGACAAAACAGCGGGAAAGAAACAAAACAGCGACAACAACAAAAAGCCTGCAGTTTCCAGGACGTCAGATAAATATTTATGATCTCATCTGAGAAATTGCTTTCATTAACCCTTTTTTCCTCTGCGTGTTCTCAGGCCCACAGTATACTGAGTTTACTCGGATCCCAAACCTTGTTTGTTGCAGACGAAGGAAAGCTGGTCGGGCTTATCACGTGGCCAGAGGTAGGGAGTGTTTTTGTGTACTTTCACCCATGCACAGATGTTACCTTCAACATGCACGTTTTTGTCACATTCCCATGTTCCTCAAATGAGCTTTACTTTGTGCAAACGAGACCACGTCCTTGTATGGATTTGTTAAAATTATGCAGGGC